CGTCTAGGCAGGGGCGGGCCGAGGCCCGAGGCCCGGTGTATCCAGAGCCTGCAGCCCCTGGAACTGGGCCAGACCAGCCTGACCAAGCACACGCTGGCACCCAGCCCCGAGAAGTGTCTTGGAGGGACCACCTCCTTCTTATTTTCTCCATAAACAGTGGCACGGGCAGAAGTCTGGTTCCAGAAACACATCGTAAAACAACTTTTATGTGAACAACTCCACGTTGGAAGGACCAAGGACTTCTCTCTTTCACTGCCCATCCCTAGACAACATTCTCCTTGCTGTAGGCTCCAGCCCCTTGATTCCCCCTTACGAATAACAACTCCCACTCGGCTCCTTGTTGGCAGAGACCAGTCTCCCATGTGCCCGTGGGTGCGCTTCCCCAGGTTCATGGTGCCTGGGGATGGCACTTGAGAGTCTCTGGAGAAGGGACAGGGCTGAGGCAGAGCTGGGACTCCACTCAAGCAAAAGCCTGGAAGGAGAGTCCCAAGGGCTCAGGAGAGAGCCCCAGCCCTGAAAGAAGAAGACCACTTGGAAGAGGTCTCCAAGCCACGTGCAGCCCAGTTCTTCTACTCTTCGGCCCCAGAGACCCTCCCCCAAGCTCCGCCTCTCTTCTCACCAGTATCCAGCTGCTGCCCAGCTGCGGCCAGTGTGTGCCCAGCGGACTGCTTATAACTCAAACAGGAGCAGGCTGGTGGTCCACGTGGTGAGGACAGGCACCACAAATGTCACTCATTGTTTTGGCCCCAAAGATACCTGGGGAGGTGTGTGCCCTGTGGGGTGATGACAGGGGCAGGTGAGCTGGTGGCCCGGCGCCTTGGGTGAGGCGGACCTGATCTATCCTGGACTGCTTGCGCGGCCTTCTCCAGCTCCCCGAACCTCTCAGGGCCCCCATTTCCTCACTGTTCTGAGGAAGGTTAGCAGGCTGCCTTGGGAGGCACTGAGGTGACAGCAGATCACAGCGCATGCAAAGTTTTCCAAGGACTATGGGCGCTCAGTCAGTGCTGGCTGCGGTGATGGCCATGACCTGAGTTGGTGCAGGCAGGAGGCAGGTGGCTGACGTGTGGCTCCTGGCCTCAGGATCTGCAGTTTACTTGAGGACGTGTGTATAACTCATCCTACCGACACATGCTTACTAACACTCATCTTTGCTAAGCTTTGGGATGCCTGGCTTCTTCCCAAACAATTGTCCATCCTGGTGCTTCTTGGAGCCCTTCGCTGGTGGTGTCCTCGTTTCCTTCCAGCCATTAGAAAATGTCTTCCATTAGAAAATTCTCTTTCATGCACAGAATTGGGGAAAACACGAATCCAAGTTGATGTGAGTTCAAAGCCAAGTTCTGCTGCTTTCTGGACGGCAGCGAGCAGGTCAGTGTACTGTGTAAAGTGGGAATACTACGGGGAAGACGTAGCAAAGGCGGAGGGTAGTGGCTTGCAGGACTGAGCAGGAGGGGCCACCGCCACGATGAGCTCATTTCCTCTTGGAGATGACCCACAGTGGGGTGCCACGCGACAGAGAAGAGAACCGAGGCCTGGAGAGGGGTCCCAGAGTCGCAGCAGCACGGCCACGTTTCCCTACTTAGGGGTTTTGGTCCAAGGATTTCCTCCTCAAGTGTTAAGGAACATTGTGACCACTAGAGGGCGCGCACAGCGCGGTCTGGCCTCAGCCAAGACCAGATGCCCAGAGCCGACCCTCTCCCGCCCAAGTTCTGGCAATCCCTCCAGCTTTGCTTCCCACCCTCTTGTGGCTTCCCAAGGTGGCGAGCTGCATTCCATCCAGGCTGGCCGACACTTGGAAAGGATGCTTCCTCCTAGGTACCTTTACCTTGCTGTGGGGACAAGGGGTTGGACAGTGACCACGCAGGTGCCCCGGGGACTGGCCGGCTGACAGCCCCCGCAGCACCTGCAGCGCCAGCCCTGGCTGGGCCCGGGGGCCAGGGAGCTGCGCAGCCAGGCCGGTGCGGGAGGAGACGCCCTGGGAGCCCCTGTCTGTGGCCGGCCCTGGCACTTCGGCACCGTCTGCTCTTCACCTCCCGCGTTCTTGAAGCGCAGAAACTCCTGTGGCCAAGAGGAGCGCCGGGGCTCCGGAAGTTCAGGCAGCTTGTTCCAGGGTACAGAAGGACCCACCTTCTTTCCTTGACCCCGTACTTACTGCTGAGAGGAAAAAGAGACAGAACCTGGCCTCCTGAGTGTCAAGCGAAGGAGGACAAAGCCCTCGCAGCCAGCAGCCCTGGGCGCCCTCTCCCCTGTGTTTCAGGCACCGACAGAAGTTGGTCCCAGGTCAGTAGCCTGGGAAGACACTGGCCGGCAGGCAGCGCATCACCGGAGGGTCCTGGAGCAAGCAGGAAGGCTCCCAGGGGAGGCTCTTCTCCATTTCGTCCACCAAGAGACTTCCTCACAGCCCGAGGGTCTCAGAGATAGATGGCAGGTGGCTGCTTGCGAGGCTCCCCAGATTCTGGGGCCGCGACTTGAAGGTGTCCAGGGAGACAAGGAGCCCAGCAGCGGCTGAGAGCCCTGTCTCCCACCTTGAGGTCCTTTTCCCTGGAGATGCTGTGGCCCTTGTCCCCTTAGCCAACCTGGGTGCTGCTCCACCTGCGTCCCCAGTGAGGCCGGACACTGTGCCAGGTGCTGGGTGGGAACCTGAGAGCAGGGAAGGTCTGTCCCCGTGGCGCACACGGACATTCTTCTCTGCACACATGCACGGGCACTTGTAGATGTGGTGTCTCTCTGTACAGAGAACATAAAGGGGAACTGGGCTGGCAGCCGGCCAGCAGTCGGCACGGTGCTCACGGCGTAGTGGCCACAGCAGATGCCGGAACGGCATCGCAGCTCAGGGAAGTGCAGGGCTGGGACCTGAAGGTTGGAAGGAGCGGACGTGAAGCCAAGCTGGAGGTGACCAAAGCCAGCTCCACACCTGCAGACTTGGCTCTCAAGGCCCCTTCGTTCTTTGCATCAGTGTTCACCATGCTTATGATGTGTGCGGCCAGGCGCTGGGGGTCAGAGCACGGCGCAGCTGCCCTCTAGGCCATGTGTGCCAGCGTGCACTCCGCTCCAGGGGCACAGCAAACTCCTGACGTTCAGAGAGCTTACAGTCCTCTCTAGGATGCCCAGTGCTTTGTGAGGTACTCAGTGCCTCCTGCTGTAGGGGACAGATCTGTCTTTTTAGCGAGGGGCTCCGGCTTTGCTGGCTTTCCAGGATTTTGCTGTTGCTTAACAGGCAGCATGGCTTTCCACAAGCCTGGCTTTCCCATAAGCTGTGAGTTCCCCAAGCACAGAATTTGTAAGTGTTTCTTCAGATGCATGAAACAGAAGAGAGGCCGTGAGCTCACTCAGATAATGTTTGTTTAGTGAGTGGAAGACCTCAGAGGGACCAAACAGCAAGGGTGTCACCGTGAGAAGGAAAGGTCCCCTGTATCCAGGGCTGCACCAGGCTAGAGGTGTCTGCCAGCCGCTGCGGGTCTGTTTCCTTCTGCGTGAGAGAACAAAGCTGTCTGGATATCTCAGCCTCCCAACTGCTGGTGCAAGAGTGAGGGCAGATGGATAGATCATGTACAGTGGGCCCCTCTGGTTCTGTCTGAAACCCCGCAGAAGCCCTGGCTTCCTGTCTGCTCTCCTCAAAATCTAGGCATCACACTGAGAAGTCCTGGACAGATGCGCCAGGGCCCGGGGCTGGGAGGGCAGGTCTGTTAGTCACTTTCCTCACTCTTGTCTCTGGAACAAAACACCCAGTAATCCCAGCTTGAAGGAGGAAAGGTTTCATTTGGCTCACATTTTGGGAGGATCAGTCCATGGTTAGCTGGCTCCAAGGAGGAAACTTCGAGGTGGGAGTGTGTGGCAGAAGATGGGTGCCCATCCCATGGGGGCCGTGGAGAAAGCAGACAAGGGAGGAGTCATGGACCAGAGTGTACCCTTCCTGGCCACACCCCTGCGTACCACATCCGCCCAGTGCCCACGTCCTGACAGCAGGGCTAGCTATGAACTGACCAATGGATCAAGCTGCTGAAGAGTACAATGTCCTCATGATCCGCTAGCCTCTGCAAAGCCCTGTCTCTGGGCACAGGAGACTTTTAGGGGTACTTTGGACCTCAGTCATGGCATCCTGGGTGAATTCTGGCTTTACCTTTGTCCTCTGCATCCTTGGGAGATGCTCTTCCTCCCATGAACGTGGTCTCTGCCAGTGCAGGGTGGGAGGTCTGGATAGGGAACAGAAATGTGGCCAGAGTGGCAGGAAGGTGACCAGACCCCCAAGACCCAAGGGGCTTCAGATTCCTGCCCCTGGGCCCCTCCATCTGCTGTTTCTGTGGGGCCAGGAAGTTATTTAGGCCTCAGATTCCCTTCTCAGTTGGCATATTTTTTAGAATAAAGATGAGCCTATTGACTAAGGGATGTGAATGAGGATGGGGGTGCTGGGTGCACAAAATGGGGGAGGCTTTCCCTTCACACAGAATGAAGGCTCCTCATGCAAGGCTGGCAACAGAGCTCAGCTCCCATCCCCAGCCCTTCCTTGATGCCTGCAGGGAGAACAAAGACCATAGCAGATCAGTTGACTGAGCCCAGGTTTCTGCAGAGCCATCTAGTTGGGCCAGGTCCAGAGACTCAGTGGAGCAAAGAGAGTGGATCTGCAGAGCAAAGCAGGGGCCGAGGGGCTGGAGCCATGAGCTCAGCAGGCACCAGCTGCCCAGAGCTCCCTCTTCTGCATGCCAGGGTCTCCTCACCTGCCTCAGAGCCGTGGCAACCAAGGGACGAAGGAAGAAAGCATGGCTGAGGTTGAAGACCCCAGCACTGAAGCAGCAGAAAGACTTTGGCAATTTGCTTAACGTCTCTGAACTTGGGCTCTTCTGTTCTATTGGTTTTATTGAAAAGAAAAGAGATATTTGGCTACTGAACGCATGATAGAAATGTATGAAATCCTTTTGAACACAAAAAGGGAATGTGACCTTAGGACCCGCTATGCTCTGAACCCTGTCTCAGCAGTGTCTCTTCACCTCTTCCTTCCCCCACAGGCTCTCTCTCCAGCCCCCGCAACCATGGGTGTCACTCCAACGCCACTGGAGGACTCTGCCTCCCACCTCGAATTCTGCAAGTGGCCGTGTGAGTGCCCGCCATCGCCACCACTCTGCCCGCTGGGGGTCAGCCTCGTCACAGATGGCTGTGAATGCTGCAAGATATGTGCCCAGCAGCTGGGGGACAACTGCACAGAGGCTGCCATCTGCGACCCCCACCGGGGCCTCTACTGCGACTACAGCAGGGACCGCCCGAGGTACGCAATAGGAGTGTGTGCACGTAAGTGAGAGCCTCTACCTTCTGACCGGTCCCGTGCCCAGCTCTGCCCAAGGCCCTCGCCCTCGCAACCCCGCAGCCCCTCCCCGGCCAGGCCTCTGTGTGGCACGGCAGGCGTCCGATCCCAGGCCACAGGCTGGGTCTTTCTAGGGATAGGAGGATGCCTGCATTCTTCCTCCGGCTCCAGAACCTCATTTTTTGCTTGGTTCTTGGTCCTGGAGACCTAATTCTCTGAGTAAGGAGGAAAAATCTAAGTCTGACTCCAGTCTGTTAGCAGGTAGGAACCTTGAAAGGAGGCCCACTGCCTCCCAGGTGACACTGGATCCCGATAGAATTCCAAATATTGTGGTAGTATTGTAAATATAAACAATTTAAATCTAGTAGCCTTGAAATAATGAAAACTAGCAGCCTGCAGGTATCCATTCCTACTAATCGAGTTCTTTTAATTACTAAAATCATTTTGTTAGACTTTTTAGTCCTTTGTACAGTCAGACTATATTATACATATCTTCTGCTAAATATTAACTGGTTTAGTATATCAGTTCTGGACAAGCTATGAATGCTTCCTTCAGCTTCCAATGTCATTGTCATAATTTTTGCTTTTGTAATTATCAGTATATATAATATTGTAACCATGTGAATATTTCTCCTGCAGCAGAAAAAGGTGTATTTGTTTCATTTTCTTTTTCTTTAATGATGTCTTTTTTTTCTTAGAGTTTATAATTGGCTTTCTTTTTCTTCGTACTTTTTTTTTTTTTTTTTTTTTTGGTGGAACCGGGGATTGAACTCAGGCCCTTGTGCTTGATAGGGAAACGGTTATTCTCCTGAGCCATCTCCCCAGCCCCAACCATCTCCCCGGCCCCCTCTTCGCACTTTATCTTCAGAGTATTTTTGTATTTAAAGGGAAGGACACTTTTTGATTGTCAAGTACTTCGTCCTGAGCATTCTGGCCTTTCCTTACTGGAGGCCTCCTGTTGGGGACTTTTGGCCCCCTGTTTCTAACTGGACATGTACTTTCTTAGTTCCAATCAGCTAAGTATTACTAAACTTATATGACATAACACGATAAAGAGAGCTAATAAGGCATCATGACAAGGCAGCCTCACTTCTGGAAAGTTCCACTAAGTCTCACAAAAACCAAGAATTCCCTTCCCTCTTGCAGAACGGAGGAGTCCCGTAACTGTGACCTCAGGCACACTCCATCACACATTCACACAGTAGGAGCGCTTGTCCTCAGCTAACACGTACATCCTGAGGCAGGTTGTGGAGGGGGTCTGAACCTAACTCCAGGTCAGACATCTGCACGTCGTGGCTAACTTGTGGCACTCTCTTCTTTTTTATCACTAGTTCATCCCTCAACTTTTGTACCAACTCCTGTGTCTCTGGCCTCACGCTTATTTACCCTTCTTAGGCCACTCTTCCAATTTTTCTCCTTTTTACTTAAGACTAATTATTTATATAGACTAATTATCACTTAGACTATTATTACAAAAAATGCATTCAAAGAGAATTTGCGAAATCACCTGCTCAGAAACAACTGATGCGCTCATTAAAAATGTCACTCCTGGGCTGGGGAAATAGCTCATCCGTCTAAGCACCTGCCTGGCAAGTGCAAGGACCTGAGTTCGATCCCCAGTACTGCATGCCATGCCAGCCCCAAATCTGGGCATGGTGGTACACACCTGTAATCCCAGCACTGATGAGGCTGAAACAGGAGGATCACTATGAGTCTGAGCTTTGCACAGAGACCCTGTATCAAATTAAGTAATTTTTTTTTAAATTTCACTTTCCAGTCCCAGCCCAGGCTTTCTGTATCATGTTCGTTGTGATTTGGGGTTTTTGCAAAGGGAAGCATTGCAAAGCAGGACACATTTAATAAGATTATTTTCTAATGAATCACCCAAAGAATCATATACAAAGAGTGCAGGAAATCTTTCCACATGCTAAAGACTGAAGAATCCAGCTGAGGTCCAAAATCCTAATACCCTTCATGAGTCCAACTGAAAACCTAGCACTCGTAACAATGACTCCCACAAGTCCAGCTGGAGGCCTAGAGCCCACAACAATGTGTCATGCAGGCCTGCTTCACAGATCTGTGCTGGGCAGGCCTAAATGTCAATGGTGAAAGCTAGAAAGTCTATGCCAGCGGGATGCAGGATCTGTGCTAGAAGGCAGAGGAATCTGAACTGGAGTCAGGAAGCAACACTCAAGGTAAGCCCCAGAGCTCCCTCCAAAAGTAGCACAGCAGTCCTCAGTGACAGTGAGGTCCCGAGCTCCTCCAGTGATGAGGAAAGCTGAGTTCCCATCAGGAAAGCCACTGTGACAAGCTTCTCCATGAGGCTGAGGAGTACATCGTCTTCCTCTCTGGAGCCAGGAAGTGATGCTCAAGATGAGGACCAGAGCTCCCCTAAAATGAACCATAGGGCCAGGAAGATAGCTCAGTAGAATAAGCACTTGCCTGGCAAGTGCAAGGTCCTGAGTTCAATACCCGGTACCTCAAAAAAAAAAAAAAAAAAAAAAAAGAACCATAGCCATTCTCAGTGATAACGAGGTTCCGAGCTCCTCCAGCTACAACAGCAGCCAAGTTCATCAGGAAAGCCAGTATGAACAGCTCAAGAGAACTAGCAGCTTCCAACAGCTTCTCCAAACAGCATCTCTAACAGCTTCTCCAGTTCTGCCTCTTACACTGCTGCCAACAACCCTCAGGTGGGCCTCCCACACCCAGCACCATGCTAGTTCAGTTCAGCAAGGTATAGCAAGTTGACCACCAGTTGGCTCTCCACTACGATGTCCTCCAGAAGCAGAGATGGTAATTAGTATCTTTAGTGAAGTCCCAGGCGATTCTCACGCATGCTGCCACTCTACATCGGCTGCTAAGACGCACTGTCAGCTGCTGACCCTTTCTCATAGCCCAAGGAGGACATCCTGGCCCGACCTCACTCCTAGTGCTAGAACCACTTCCAGTTGAGCGGTGCCATCTCATAATTCCTTTCTCATTTGACAGCTGTTCTTCAAGGTCACTTGAAAGGTAACTGGGTTCATTGTGATTATGCTAATCTCTAAATCTGTACAAGATCTCATCACATACTGCTCATTGTACCGTTTTAGGCATTCTCTTATGGAGCCAGAGATTGACTTTCTTGTTTGTTGTCTCTACCAGAAGCCTGGAAAACCAATTTTCCACCCTCTCATCCTTGTGTCCTTGTAACCCAGGTTTTGCCTTCATCCACAACAACTTCTCAGCTCTTCACCACCATGAGCTTCTATTTATTTGCATTTACTCAGAGAAACATACATTGTGGTCTGAAGGAGCTCCTATGTGAACTCCTATGTGGTCTCATATGTGCCGGTGGCTCTTTGATCATAGAGTTTGCAGTAGACTGAAGTTAAAAAAATGTTCCCGCATTTCTCAGAGACTCAAAGTGTTCGTATCTACCCCCTGCCAAGCTCCAAAGGGAACTAGCATGCGGCCTTCTCATTTTAAACTTACTTGAACACTAAACATTTCTGTCCAGGTACATTCTTACAAACTTTCACACACACACACACACACACACACACACACACACACCCCAACTGCATAGTGAATGTGCGTATGCACACACACAACTCAGTTGTGTTTTACTGAAACGTTTCCTGGAAATGCTGACACGGCATCAGAGTTTGTGAGGCCCTAGCGCAAGAAGAAAGGTCCACGTCCGAATGCACAGAGAGCCTCTAAGTATATGAAGGTATTTGTGAGCCAGAGATCGAGGAGAAAAAAGAGTGGCCTTCATGGCAACCTTCCTGTGAAAGAGTATTCAGTTAATGGACAGTCCCTATGACAAGCCAAATCTGTCTTGGAAAATTTGTGTGTGATTAGGCCAGATAGGACAGGAAATAAGGATGAGAAATTGCGACTCTGGTAAGAGAAGATGCAACTCAGATAAGATGGGAAGAGTGGTGGCAGGCTAGCACTTATAAGTTCAGGCCATCGGAGGCCACCCTCTTGGGGCTCAGCCGCTGTGGCCAAGAATAGTGAGCTTGTTCCTGCCCAGTCCTTGCAGTTTCTGAGAGAACTCAGAAATCCAGACTTGGGCATGACTTGTAAATGTTGGCAATAAATTTAAAACAGTTTTAAAAACAACAATCTGTGGGCCAAACTAAATACACCCAAAGGGCAGAGAGCAAACTCTCAGGAGGGCTGCTTGGCCAGCTCTGGGCACAAACACTACATTTAATGCAAGCAGGTCAGCTCTGAGACATAGTGGTTTGGTAGAAGGATGGTGACATTTACAGGCTCACAGACTTGGGTTGTAAATCCTGGCTCTGCCACTTGCTGGCTACGTGACTGTGCTCATGTCCCTCGCAGAGGCTGTTTAACCCACTGTCACGTGATGCTGGGCAATAAACAAGGGGGTGCAACTGAACAACAAAACAAAAGGAAAAAACAAATGTGAGCCGATGCTCTGGGTCACAGCTTTCCTTGGTTTAACTTTCTTTACAGAATCCTCTCAACCCTGTCTATGGTCAGCCTCAGAGGAGAGGCAAAGCTAGCTCAGGCCCATTCCCTCAATCTGACATCTGAGATTAGTAAATCCAGGCCTGGTCTTCCAGGCCATCCAGATTGGAATCCTTGCATGGTACCAACTAGTGCTTTGACTTAAGACAAGCTACTCAACCATGCAAGCCTCAGTTTGCTCATCAAAGACAATGTGACAATATTGTGACCCATCTAGGCTGTTCCCCCAACCCACATACATCTATGCATCCAGCCACTGGCCCATGGAGTAATTCCCAGAGAGAATGTAAATGAATACCAGGTTGAGGGTGGGGTTACAGCAGGGCCTGCCCACTGCCCAGTCCCTCAGGCTGCCCATGAGTGCAGATGAAGGGAGTCAAGGCCTCAGGGAATGGAGAGGTGGCTTGAATTCCTGAAAGCCCTCCACAGTAGGGGGAGGCGGGGGGGAGCTAGCACACGTGCACCTGCACGGCGGATGGTCAGGAAGTGGCTGCTTCACTGCCTCACCACAAACCGGTCCTGTGTTTAGGCTGGAAGAAAGCAGATGGCAGGGACCCTGAGCCTGCTGATGGGGCTGTCTCAGTTACTCTTCTCTCATTGTTGGGACAAAATACCCAACACCCTAAATTAAAGAAGGAAAAGTTTATTTAGCTCACAGATTGTTGGAGGTTTTAGTCCTTACTCAGCTGGCTCCAAGGCAGGGTAGCACATGGAAGAGGGCGGCAGTTCAGAGTCAAGGAAAGCGGCAAAACAGCAAGAGCAGAAGGGAGGAGCAACAGCAGCAGCAGCAGCGGCAGAGGCAAGCCCCTCTCCTTTCCTTACATTGGCTCAGCCCGCACTAAGGACAACATCTAGGAGTAGCACTCACCTGCAATCCCAGCATTGGATCATGAATTAATCCCAAACTCTAGAAGCTGCCCTAGGGACTGCAGGAGACTTCTAGACATAGACTGTAGCAGGGCCTTCCACAGCCATCACTCACTTCACGCTGGGGCCGAGCTGAGGCTGTGCCCTTGCCCGCCTGCCCCATAAACCAACACACGCTCAACACGTGTGTGCACACACAAGCTCATACAGCCTCCTCGAGTAGGAGGATGGGTCAGGGATGATTCTGAGCACACTGTCACGTGATTCCCTCCTGCTTCCCATGCCTCGGCTGTTTCTTTCTTTCCTTTTGCTCTCACAACCCTTCCTCAGCTGATGCCTAGTGGAAGGAAAGTTATGGAGTTAGATTCCCTGGGCTGGACTTCCAGCTGTGTCAGCCAATGGCATCATGACCTTGAACAAATGAACCTCTTAACCCCTGAGCCCTTCCCTGTCTGCCACTTGAAGACAATAAAACTCTCCTGATGAAGTCACCAGGGTACCTGTGAGAGCTCATGGAGCAGGTGGTGCCCAGCATGAGACCAGGTAGCCAGTACACACTGGGACCAGCTTTCTGCATCTCTTCCTGGGGTGGCCGCACCCTACAGGATTAACAACAGCCCCAGCAAGGTGCACACACGCTGACCCACTGTTGCCCACTGCCATCACGTTGCACCCTTGACTTCACCTTGCTGAGCCTTGGCTTTGTATATGAAGACAGCAGCACATGCCTAGAACGAGATAAAGTCACGAGAATGATGCAGAGGACCCTCCAAGAAGCGGTGGGGACAACCTGCATTCTTGACAAATTTTAGGGTGGAAGTTAGGAATCATCTCTGGGCAGATTCAGGGGACAAGATGGAACTATGGGCAGACTTCATAGTCCAATTTGCCCTTCCTGTGGTGGCCCCCTGGCTGTCCAGGGGCTCTGTGTCCCAGAAGCTGTCTTTTAGGTACCACATGACATCAAGGGTTACGTGTGGCCCCAGCAGCCCCTAAACCCTCCTGGAGACGCCATGCTTACATGGCCACTCCCACATGGCCACTTGGTAGATGATAACCAGCCATCTCGCTGCTAATGACGGACTCGTTTACCTGCCTACCCCATGCCCTGCTCCTCTGAGGGTGACAGAGCATCCCTCCCCCTCTAACAGAGCCAGGGGCCATTACCTTTGCATGCTCCACTGCAAGGCCTGGCTGCTGCCTTCCCAAATGCTCCCAGAAGCCTCTGTATTGGGAGCTGATCAGGCTCCGGATCTCAGAGACCAGCTTACAGAAAGAGATTAAATAAAGATGAAGCAAATATGATTTGTGGGAGTCCAGGAATGTCAGCACTCCCTTGCAGCTAAGACAAAATTTTCCCTGGACGGCCAGTATTTATTGGATTTCAAACAGGTCCAGGAGGAGAGCAGGAGGGGAAGTGAAGGAAAAAGCTGTGGTGAAGGCAGGAAGCTGCGCAGGACCTTGAGAAGTCAAAACAAAGACATTCTTTAGGCAGTAAATCTTGTCAATTCTGAGGGCTGTCCTATTCTGGCAGTTGACAGTTCATAAATTTATCGCTCTGGAATAGGACATGAGAGCCCATGTTTCATGGCCTCGTGTCCTTGGCTGCCTGAGCTCTGGTGTTACCTTGTCTTCAGGGCACTGTGATCAGCAGCCTGATGCACCCATGGCCCAGTCCCCAACAACTGCCACCCATGGCCGTGGGCCCTTCCCTCTGCCAAGCTGCCACCCGCTGGGGAACTGCAGATGCTGTCTTTGTTCCTATCCAAGCATCCTCTATGGCATCATGAGCACTCTTGGGAAGCACAGTTTTGTTACTCTTTCAAAGTGCTATTTATTGAGCACCTGCTTTGCACCCAAGGTTCTAGGCTCTGCACCTTTGTGGGTGCCTATGGGAAGCCCAGTCTGTGTCATCCCATCCTTGCCTATTTCCTCCCCTGCCTCTCCCACCTCCATCAGCAACTGTCACACCTTTGATCAGTGCCCTCCTCCACCCCCTGGCTGGCCTACTTCCTGCTTTCTGGTCTTTGGGGGCAGGAGCATTCTCACATTAATGAGGCCGCCTGCTGCCACCCTCCCTTTCCAGCTGCCCTTCCCTGCCCTGCTCTTCCTACTCACTGCTATCAGTGACTGACACTACCAACACTCTTTGTAATCTCTAGATATTTGTCCTGTGCCACCCTCAGTACAGTACATGCTCTCCACAGGTGGAGCTGTTGCAACCCCTCCCCCATCACTGATAAATGAGGTCTCTAAGCCCTGAGAGAAGGCCATGTGGGTTGGAGTTCTGATTTGCTTATTGGTCCCCATGAAACATGGTCCCTCTGCGCATGCCTGTGTTAGGGCTGTCCTTGTGCCGAGGACACTCCAGGGAGCAGGCTTTTCGGGACACCGTGGTGGGCGCTATGCTGGGTGCTGCTCTTCCTCAGCTGCCTGACCAAATGATGGTGCTGCCTGTGTTTGCAGAGGTGGTCGGCGTGGGCTGTCTCCTGAACGGAGTGCGCTATGGCAACGGAGAGTCCTTCCAGCCCAGCTGCAGGTACAACTGCACGTGCATCGGCGGCGCAGTGGGGTGCACGCCTCTGTGCCTCCGTGCACGCCCTCCTCGTCTCTGGTGCCACCAGCCCCGGCGTGTGAGAGTGCCAGGCCAGTGCTGTGAGCAGTGGGTGTGTGAAGACCACTCCTGGAGACCTGCACAGACCGTGCTGGGTGACACCACAGCCCTGGGTAGGTTCAGACGCGGAGTCCAGGGCATTACTGAATGCTGGGAATGATGAGCCCTGTGCACGACCTGGACCCTGAGGCCCAGCACCCAGTCTGCAGCTCGCAGGTGGCCAGGTGTGGCAAAGTCACACCCCATGCCCATTTCCCATCTGTAAGGTGGACGCTTACAGATCTCCTGCCTGTCACTCCCAGCATAAAGGAAGAAGCACTTTGTAAAGAACAAAGACAATCAGCACACTCTATTGTCATCTGTCACAGAGGCTGGTGGTGGATTGGAGGAGGCAGAGTGCAGGTGCCTCAAGAGGGAGGCATGAGCAGCAGGGGCAACAGAGAGAGGGTAATGGCCTCGTCCAGCTTTCCCCTGCTGTGGAGGACAGGTGGGCAACTGAGGCTCCAGCCAGGCAATCCTGTTTGAAGGGAAAAAAGGCAAAGACAGATTTGGTTGGGTTTTTTTTTACTCCCTACTGAAGCTTAGCCCAGTGCAGGACACTTAGCAGGTACCCAATTAATGTTTGTCACTTGGGCAAGTGAATCAATGGATGAACAGATAGATGGATGGACTAATGGGCAGATGGATTAGTGGATGGATGGAATGAAAGACAAGTGGATGGATGGTTCTGCGGGTGGTGGATGGCTAATTGCATTGGAGATGGATGGATGGACAGAGAATGGATGGAAGGTGGATAGATGGATGATGTAATTGCTTGGCGCATACCTAGTGAGGGTTAGAGCTAGGGCTGTGAGAGTAGAGTTGGTGAGAAAGGGAAACATGCAGGAGACACTGCCTGAGTAAATGCAGGCGTTGCTAGCCATCGCATGCACAGAATGAAATAGAAGCAGGGGTGGGGATGCCGCCTAGGGCATATGGCGCCCAAGGAGCAAAAGCAAGAGGAGCCTGCAAGGTTGAGCTTCAGGTGCACACAGAGAAGCGTCCAATGACACAAAGGTGGAGGACAGAGAAACAGGGAGAGAGCTCTGGGGTTACCCTCTTGGGGCTGCTGATGGCAGGCAGGTCGGCCTAGGAATAATGTGGTGGCTGAGAAAGGGCCAGAGGTAGAGCTGAGGGCAGGGCTGCCCCTCCAGGACACCCAGGTGAAGAGAGAAAGAGAAGACTGGGAGGGAAGTCAGAAGACATAGAGCAGCTGGGCGGTGGAAGACAGGGACAGGGACGCTGCTAGAGGAAAGGGCTGAGCAGGTGGGTGGGCGTGAGGTAGTGAAACAGCACAGAGTTGGGGAGTTTGACACTTGCGAACCATCTCAAGTACGCGAGATCCCTCAGGAACTGTGCAGAGCCAAGTGTCTCCAGCACTGGTCACATGATCCGAGACTCTGTGGCAGCAGTTGGATGTGCCCTGAAGGACATTAACAGTGCCCTGGCCTCTACTGTGTATACGTCTGTAGCACCCTCTCCCAGGTGTGACATTCTCCAAGGTGTGACAGCCCCAAATAGCTCCAGACGTGGGCAAACATGCCTGGAACAACAGTGATGCAGTGGAGAAGCATGGCTGTGAGGATGGAAAGATGGAAAGAGGTGTCAGGGAAAGCAGATTCCTACAGGCCTAGGCTGGCAGGGCAGCTTCCCCTTCACAGCCCCCTCTGCAGGGCCACACAAGGGTCACCAGGAGGTGGGGGGGCACAGGCTTTGTGCACATCATGTGTGGCCCAGTGACCCCGTTCTGACCTCGCACAGGCAGAGTACTAGCGCTGCAGCTTCAGAGGCGACCCAGACACCAAAGCCTTTCATCCTCCAGACAAATCCTTCTCCATTCCTGGGCGAGGGCTTCCAGATGCAGCAGCCCAGCTCAGCCCGGCCTAACCGCCCCTGTCCTGGATGCCTCTGAGCTCTGCTGTCTGTGGAGCCTCTCCCTCCCACTACTCCTCCCTGCATCCCTGCATCTGTTCACAGTGGGCCTCACGCTCCTGTGTGTTTCCTGCTGAGAACCAGACAACTTCCCTTCTCTGTCTCCCGAGCCCACTTTGCTCCTTTCTCCTATTTCTCTTCCCTTCCCTGTTCACCCAGTCCCCCTCTCGTCCCTTTCCTTCTCTACTCTGTATCCTTGCCCTCCTGTCTTTCCATCTTTTCCCTGTCTACTTGCCAATTTCTTTTTCCCTCCCATAGCTTGTGCCTGTGGCCAGGTGGCGCTTCTCCTGTGTATCTGTCCCCTCTGTCTGCAGACAGTCCTCTGGCTTACTGGCCCTCCCCTGCCTCCGTCTATCTCTAGCTCAGTCACATCAACTCCTCAGATAGCAACTGAATGGGCTTGTGTTTCAGATGCTGGGCACTGGGCATCCACAGAACTGCCTAAGAGTAATCCTCCAGCTCATATGGTCTCAGGACTCACAGGGCGGCAGGGACACTGTCTTTTTGGATCACAGCCCTAGAGGGCCATGTGTGCCAGTCCCTTGGCAAAGAAAGGGCCCAAATCACGGAGCTGTGCATGAGTTCCCAGCCTCACACAGCTTGGAAGCAGCCGTGCTGAGAATTAAACCCAGGAAGCCCGACACTGAAGCCTACAGGTCCCTAATCCATCACCCCCTCAGCATCACCACAGTGAAGTGTGAGGGGCTAGAAGGTGGGCTTTCACCTTCAGTCTCCCCCAAATCAACTGCACCCCTGCAGGGCCAGAGACACCGTCTCTCTAGCCTCCCATTTGAAGCCTCTGTCTTGGTAAAGAAGCCACCCAAGTCCAGAGCCTATGGCCCCACCAACCCTAGGCAGATGCTAGGCCTCCAACCAGGAAACAGACCCAGAGTGAGCATCCAAGATCACACACCTTGGGGTGGAGGAGAGAAGGATTTGAGCTTGAACTTGGGTACACCTCTCTCTAAAGGCAATTTCCTTCCATGTGCTATACTTCATCTTTTGATCAGAAAAATATGAGGACCTTAGAAAGAGTCCCTCTGTCCCTAGATATCCGTATTGGTTAGAAGGCAATTTGCCTTCTGTGGGAAAGAACAGTGCAGTTCCTGTCTTTCTGTCTCTGTCTCTGGCCACTGTCTCTTTCCTACCAAGTTTAAGGAAGGCCCAGCCTCCTTCCTACAGTGATGGTTAGGCTCAGCGGCAGGTGGTGGCTGGAGACTCACAGGGACTCTCGCGTCTTTGCACAGCTGCTGTAAGTGACATGGAACCCTGGCACGGGAACTGCTTGCCCTACACCAGCCCCTGGAGCCCCTGCTCCACCAGCTGTGGCCTAGGCATCTCCACTCGGATCTCCAACGCCAACACCCAGTGCTGGCCGGAGCAGGAAAGCCGCCTGTGCAACCTGCGGCCTTGTGACGTGGACATCCGCCCGCACATCAAGGTGGGTCCAAGGTAGACAGAGGCAGGTGCCTGTGACCCGACAGGCAAACAGTCAGGCCTTGAGGCCCGCTCTGGAACTTCTGTGGGGGGCCACATGTACAGTGGGGACGGTAAGCCACCTGGGATTCTCTGTGTAATCTGCTCATTGGCCTGGTGAGTTGTGGATTTCACTCAGTGAAAGCCTTTCTGTTCATCATCATATTAGAATCAAGGCGTCTCACTCCAGAAATAGCCTGGGGGCCCTCCAAGCTGCCTTTGTCTAGTGATTCTCAGGAACCTTCACTGACATATGCCCTCCAGTCAAGCCAGTGCAGATCCTGTGGCCCCAGCACTTAGGACAGCTACACGGGGCATCCTGAGGCGCAGGATGCTGCGCTTCCAACAGGTGGAGTCGGGGGCCCGCTGCCACTGTAGGCGCATGGCTGGCCTCCCACTGTCAGGCTTTGAAGCCTACTGTCACAAGGTCTGTTTCATCTCCAAAGTCTCTTCCAGCTCTAAGCATCTCAGAAAACAAAAATAAACCATTAGGGACACACGGGACCCCAGAGGCTGTGTCCCGCTGCTGCGTCAGATGAGGACTTTGCTCCCTTCACTCGCTGCCCCTCACTAGTGCCTTAGCCAGCAGTGACGTCAAAGACAAAGCAAAATGACGCAAAGCTCAGCTCTGGTTCCATTTTCGGAGTCCAGGTGGCTTTCTGGGAGTGCTGAAGGGTGGGTTTCCTGGCAGACCAGACAGCCCAGCTTCCTGCTCTCTTTTTTAAATATCCAGCCTCGGGTCGTCTCTTGTGGGGCCCCTCGACGCATCGGTCCTGTGTTCCCTTCATGCCTCCTCTGCTTTCCTTCCCATCCCCCACTGTGCTGGCCTGCGCATGCGCAGTGCTTCACTCCCTGCACACCGCACGCTCCGCTGTCTGAGCTGGGAGCATGCGTGGGACAGCAGCCGCCGCTTGGGAAACGCGGCTCCCAAGGTCGTTTGCATGGTTACGCGTCCCGGATATACAGCGTCGTGCCTGGGTCGCTTTACCCCATCTCTGCCGCTTCTGGTTCACAGTAGCCTCCAGGCACTGCTCTTTCAATGCACTTAGTAAGAGCCTACTATGAGCTAGGCATGGTATCACAAGCGTGATCCAAGTATATGGTGCATGTTTAAATTTTTTAAATTATTGCAGTAAAAACCTTAAGAAAAAATTACCAGAGCCCCTCTCAAAATACTCTCCCCAGCTTCAACTCACTTATCCCATGATTCTTGCCACTTTCGGAAGCAGTTCTGGAAGTTCCGTTTCACAAAAATCTTTATGAAGTATGATTTAAAGGTACGCAGTGAGTGCAAAGGTACTTAGCACAGAGAACTTCCAGAACTGCTTTAGAAATAGGAAGAATGAGGGATAAGCGTGCTCTGGGCTAGGGGGAGTGCTTTGATAAAAGCTAGCGGCAATGTTTCTTTCACTATATATTTTTTTGAATATTGAACCAGTCGTCATATTATTCAATCACATCTCATATGCTACAGAGATGCAAGAAGAGCCCCAGGTGGCCCACATCCCCATGAGGAGTTGCCCTTCAGTGATGTCAGTGTGGTTGAATAGGCTGCAGGGTCAGTGTGGAAGACAAGCTGGGAGCGGCAGAGGTGGCCAGCTGGAGTGAGGCCTGTCTGACCGCGTAGTCCCCAGGCCAGCCTTGCCACCGGCTTGCTGGGGAGGGAGCTCAGTGTCCTGAAAGACCTGCTAAGGTTCCCCATGTTGGTAAAACTGGGACAAATGGGCCCAGGTAAGGCAAGCATTCAGGTGATAAGGGAGATCCTAAGTATGAGATCCAGCCTCAGAGAAATGATTATTCCCTGATCCTATTTTACTCCCGTCTAATAAGACTGGGTCTTGCTGGTGTTTGTTAATGTTCTTCCTTGACCAAAGATGCTATAAATCTAAGTGTAAGACAAAGTGCCCAGGGAGTGGGAAGGCTGGGGAGAAGACGATGGCCGCTTCCCTGGACATCCTAACCGAGGGCTCCTTTCATTTCCTGCAGGAAGGCAAGAAGTGTCTGGCTGTGTTCCAGCCACAAGAGCCCATGAACTTCACTCTGGCGGGCTGCGTCAGTGCCCGCTCCTACCGACCCAAGTACTGTGGCGTCTGCACGGACAACAGGTGCTGCATCCCCTACAAGTCCAAGACCATCAGTGTCTCCTTCCAGTGTCCCGAGGGGCCTGGCTTCTCCCGCAAGGTGCTGTGGATCAACGCTTGCTTCTGCAACCTGACCTGTAGGAATCCGAATGATATCTTTGCTGACTTGGAGCCCTATCCTGACATCTCAGAAATCGCCAACTAGCCAGGCACGGGATGTGAGATCTGGGACCTGGGTGAATGCTTGTCAGGAAGCCAGCACTCTGAGGCCAATAATGTCACACAGTTGAGCCTTCCTTTGTTAGCTCTTACTCATTTTTAGACACTCCAGTCAGGACCTTCAGCCTCCTTTTCTGTCTACCACCTAGATGACCCGTGATTGTGCTGCTTGGGCAGTATTGTGTATCACACCAAAGAAAACGCCTGCTTCTAGCTGTTGTAGACAAGAGTCCGTGTTGCTTCAACCTGGCTTAACCAGGACCCCAGGAGTGGAACCAGCTAGATACCCAGGATCACAGACTCTGTCTTTAGAGGCCAACTCAGCGGAGCCCTTGGATCCATGTGGAAGGACTGATGGGACTGGGGACAATGGAAACTATTATTTGGAGCCTGTTCCATAGTACTTGGATGGCCATTCCTGTCCAGAGCCCGTCAGAAGCAGCTCTGGTTCTGAAGATTTGTGCACCACCGCATCACCAAACATCTGTCAAGTGAGGTGAAGAGTTTAGCTTTGGTGCTTAGTGAAAACTTGTATTTGTCAACCTAGACATTGCTGAGTTTCAGTTTGCTTCATTCCTCCCCTAAGAAGGGTTTAAATTGGGTTCATCTCCATCAGGAATGCAACTTGAGAAACTTCACTTTTGTCCATGAGGAAAGTCCCCAGTCAGCACACTGCAGGGTCACAGCAAGAACAGCCAGTTTCAGAAGCAAAATCTTGGCTGCTGACTGGCATTTCTTTGGGAGTTGGCCTGGATCTTCTTTGCATGCTGACCTTCTCTGTGCCCAGGGCACTTGGAAGTTAGCAGAGCCCTGGGATAGTCCTTTGTGCCTAAGATTGTTGTCCTGGAAGATTCCTCTACTCCTGGGATTCTTAGTAGGGTCCTATGAGGTCCAAACCAGACCTAGCAAGTCAGGTATGGGTCAAACCAAGAATTGGGCCCACATTTCATTAGCCTGAGGTGGCCTCTAAGGAGGGAGGTTGTAGGACCATAAGCTCCCTAGATCATGGTCACATCTTTTAATTATGCAGTAACCCACTTTGTAGACCTTGGGTCTGTGGGTCAAAGCAAATCAGTTTTCTTGTCTGAAGCAGAAGATGGCCAGTTGCTTAGATATGGCAATACATTTGCTAGGGGCTAAAAGCCAGAAAGAATTGAAGCTAAAAGAAAGAGAAAGTTGTTACAAATGCAGATGCAACTCTTATTTATTTCCTTACTAGAATATATTACTCTCATATCCTTTGGGTCAGTGTCTTCTGTGTGCTAGATGTGGTTCTCCGTGCTTTCCATATACTCGCTTATCAAATATTGATAATGTTGAGACGTTCTCATGATCACTTCTGTTCTTACAAATGTGAAATGGAAGCTCAGAAAAGCAAGGGAAACTTGACTAGAGTCACCCACTTGGTAAATAAGGGGACTGGAATTCTCGTCCAGGTTGTGCTGACCTCATAATCCACACCCTCCCTGCTCCTAGCGCTCTCAAATGCGCTAGAATAGACGAATTGTGAAATAAGCAATTTCATGTTCCCAGTTTTTTGCTTTTACTATTGTCTTTATACTTTTTTCCTAAAGAAATGTCTGGTTCTCTGATGATTTAGGCCCTTAAAGGTCCCCCAAAAGTAGGCTAGATAAAGCGTCAATGCATTACTTAAGATCATCCTCTTCTAGTAAGAATCAGCTTACATCGTGTATTTATAAGTGATTCTGTTCCGCGCTCCTGCATACTGGGCTGCCAAGCAGGTACTCAGGAAGGAATTCCTCACAGCAAACACAGTTTCTTCCACAAGTAAAAGGATCTGGAATTTTCCCTCCTTACTGTGACCTCCCAAAGGCCTGGCACATGCAAGGCCTATAGTGGTGCTCAGTCTGTATTTGATGAACAGAACAAGTTGTATATGTGTTTCTACTTTTATTTAGAAGTGCTCTTCTCACAGTATGTCAAAATCTAATTTTATCAGTGAAAATCTTACACTAAGTGCCACAGGAGCAACATTTTAAATGTATATTCTTGTATGTATAAAAATGCTCATGTAAAGGAAACTTACCCCATCAGTCACCTCTGCTATGAGTCATGTTGGGTTTTCTTGGAATAGAAATATCTACCCCCTATAAGGCTAGATAACAGTACTGTATGTGAGATGCAAGAGAAATCCAAGAGCCAGGTTCCAACTAAGTTTGTGCCTCAGTTGGCAAATTGAGTGTGGCCTCCATGATTCTAGGGAACTTGGTATAGGAGGATAGGACTGGTAATGTCACTCAGTTACTGTTGGTTTTGAGAAATGGACCTGGCCCATGCAGGTCCAAAGTGAACATCTTTGATGGATGTTTAAGTCCTGTGGAAGGATACTTACACCCTTCTGCAAATATGCCCTTTCTAATTGAAGGATGCCGCAGTGATGTGTGCCCCTGTACAAGAAACAAAAGAATAATCACTCTTGAACTTGTTTCCATGTATTAAGTCTTTCGCTGGTGCCAACCACCATGCTGTTTTATGTTATTTTATCCTTTATCACAACAATATTGGTACACCTCTTTTGTATTTGATACATGGAAACTCTGAGGTTCAAAGGGGCTGAGAATTTGGGGTTCAAACTCAAGCTTAATTTGTTCTGATTGGGTTGGACCCAGGTAGAGCCTGGATGACTCCTCTGAGACTATTACTTGCACAGTTTCAAAATGACCAAGGAGATCCCTTTTCTGGACCCTTTAATGGATCAGATCTGGGATGCTGGTGAGAGGAAGGCAAGGCTCACAATGGATTACTTAACCTTCAGGGGGAAAAAAGCTCATGTTCACATCTTCATGAATTTCCTTGGTGGCTTAGCTGGGAGAGATGGAGTCTCGAATTTACCAAGCCACTGAGTCCTGCTAAACCCTATGGCAAAGGTCTGGGAGCCCTAGAATGCACCAGACCTGCTGCTAGGTGCTTTAGTCCCATAGCTCACTTCTTCTTCACAGTGAACCCGGAGCTATGGCGTTACATTGCCTTTGATATGTGATAGCTGCATCTCATAGGGTTAAATAATTTACTTAAGGTCTTACCAGCCAGAGGACAGCAGACCAGGGTGGCAAGCCCATCTGACACCCGAGCCATCTCTCCTGCCCCCTGAATCCCAGGAAGACCTTACAGGGAGTGTTTCGATGGCAATAGCTGCAATTTCAGTTTTGAAGCTGATTCAGAGAATGATTAAAGAAAGTAGCTTCACATGGTGTGATTGTCCCTGCGCTCACTGATATGATCCTGTGCATGCTAAGGATTACGGGGAAGTAGTGCATCCTGGTGACTTATGTCAAATGACGTCACTACTTTTTAAGGACTTGTGATGAACAGTAACACCGATGACAGTCCAGCGTAGGTGGGAATCACGAATAGCCATACGCCTAACTAGGTACCGTCACACCTATACATGTGTGTATGCATATGTATGTATATATCTATTTTCAAAATGTGATTTAGTATTTAAATACTCCCACTCCTACTGCCATTTTTGTAAGGGACCGAATGATCCATATGAAGAAATGCCTTGGAATTTCCCATGAGAGGGAAAATAGCTCTCGGGCAATCTGTCATGTTCGATAATATTCCTCATTTTTCTCACGCTTTGTGTAGCATAGAACATATTGTTCAACGTGAAGGATTTTTATTGCTCACATTCTTTGTTTACAGCTTTTCTCTCCAAAGCAATAAATCATCAGCAGTGTAAATAAGTGGATTAGGTGGATGTTCTTGTGGATTCGGTGGCTGTGAGGCCATGATGGGATGCTGAACACACTCAATCAGTGCTTTCAGGGTGGGAAATGGATTTCAGATATTTTATACAGAGAAAAAAAATAGTTTAATAGTTTGGGCTGCGGGGAGAGAGCTCAGCAATCTAAGCGCCTGCCTGGCAAGCACAAGGATCCGGGTTCGATCCCCAGTACCACATGCTTTGCAATGCCCAGAAGCCTGGGTGCACCATGCGGGCCACCGAGACTGGGCATGGGGGCACACGCCTGTAGTCCCAGTGCTGGGGAGGCTGAGACAGGAGGATCGCTGAGAGTCTGAGCTGTGGGGTGAGGCCCTGTACTAAATAAATAAATACATAAATACATAAATAAATATATATATTAATGGTTTGGAAATGAATTGAGGGATATAAATTGTGGATTGGGGGCCACCACAGTTGTTAGCCCACTCAAGGATACCTCCTCAGCACAAGAGGCGATGTTTACCATTCACTTAGCTGTTCACTCGCTCAGTGCTCTTCTAATCTAGTGCATCTTGGGGTCAGGCACCATGAGGCACAGCAAAGGTCCTGGGGCTGAGGAAGCAGGCGTGGGTGTACGACAGGCTCTCTCCCCTGCTGCCTGAGGAACACAGGAGCACAGGGAAGTGGGAGAGGGGGCAGCACTATACCAGGAGAGAGGCCTGACAGGGGGCTCCAGCACATTCGATTGTGCTTTACCACGAAGTCCTCAGAGCCTCCGTATCCTTAACATGAAAGACACAAACCCTTCTCACCTACCTTTGGCAGGATGTACATTGCATAGAAAAAAAATTAAAATGCAGCTTAAAACAAGAAAACCCTCAGGGCTGGCCAAATAGCTCAGCAGATTGAAGTGCCTGCAAGCAGGTGCAGGGGCTAGGGGTTTGATCCCCAGGCCTGTCCTGTCAGACCTGCTCCTGGGGCATGTTGAGACAGTAATTGAGACTGGGCATGGTGGCACACGCCTGTAATCCCAGCTCTTGGAAGGCTGTAAACAGGTGGATCACTAGGAGTCCAATCTAGTAGTAAGACCCTGAATACCCTATTGACCCTTACCTAAAAAAAAAAAAAAAAAAAAAAAAGAAAGAAAGAAAGAAAGAAAGAAAGAAAGAAAAGAAAAGAAAAGAAAACCCTCAATAAACTTATCTATTATTAGCTGAGTCTGTCTCATCATCAACTTGGGTAATCAACTAGGCTATAATAAGAATTAGCGCCCACGTATGTGTCCACATGCTTAACTTACCCTATAGTAGATATAAAGTATCATCAATATTCTGCTGAATGCCCTTTTATTTTAACCATAAGCCACTCAGTCACAGTGTTAGCCAACTTTCTCATTGCTGGGCCCCAATCCCCAATCCCTACAGCTTAAAGGAGCAGAGGCTTAATTTGGTTCCTCGTTCCAGGGATTCAGTCCCCGG